GTAGCAGATATCTAACAGAGTGTTGCCGACATCCATGCAAAATTAATACCAAAAATGAATTTATCATTTCTGCATGGATTGTGTGAAAAAAATAAGGTACTGCAGAACTTTGGTGAAAAGATGAAGAAATCGCGCTGAAAGACACCATCATGACATGCACGTGCAACATCACTTGTTGGATGTCCATTTGCATGACACCACAATCGTACAGCAAGAGAGCAGCGAACAAATGCTACGACTGACGGAAGCCCAACGCAACAACGCCATCAGAAGACTGCAAACAGAAGAATCATCTTAGCCAGGTTTTTTCCACCTAGCACCAAGCACCATTACAAGACTGTGGAAACATTATCAGACACACGTGACCTTCCACGACCAGGTCGACCAGGTATCACTTATAGAGCAGAGGACAGATTCATACGGCTACGTCACTTTCGTGAAAGAACCGCCACGGCCACCTCTTCAAATACGGCAAATCAGGATTGCGTAAAATGTCAGCCAAGACAGTGCCTAAACGTTTACGCGCTGAACGGATTCGCGCTAGACGACCACTTCGTGATGTCATTTTTACGACGTCAATGATGTCAAGGTCACAGAGTAAGGCCACAACTGCGTTGGGGACAAGTTTGGTGTGGTGACGAGTCACGTTTGGTGCTTCGCCGTGCGGGTGGTGGACATCGTGTTGACAGGCGTCGCGGGGAACGTTATGCACGAAACTGCAAACCTGTGGACAGAATTGGTGGTGGTAGTGTGATGATGTGGGCAGCCATCTCCTACATTTGTAGAACAGGCTTGGTGTAACGTATGGGGAAGTTAACGGCACAACGGTACACGGATGAGATTCTTTGGCCACATGTCCTTCCAATACAATAAGCGAAGCTCATTTTCCAACAAGACATCGTGCGACATCACACAGCAAGACTGACAACAGTCTTTTTTTTCAGGAATTTCACAGGAGGAGACAAGAGGGCAATGCTCGGGTAGGTTTAGTATTAATGGAGACAGGAGGGCAATGCTCGGGTAGGATTAGTATTAATTGAGACAGGAGGGCAATGCTCGGGTAGGTTTAGTATTAATAGAGACAGGAGGGCAATGCTCGGGTAGGTTTAGTATTAATAGAGACAGGAGGGCAATGCTCGGGTAGGTTTTGTATTAATAGAGACAGGAGGGCAATGCTCGGGTAGGTTTAGTATTAATGAAGACAGGTGGGCAATGCTCCGGTAGGTTTTGTGTTAGAGGAGGCAATGATGGCAATGCTCGGGTAGGTTTTGTGTTAGAGGAGATAGAAAAGCAATGCTTAGGTAGGTTTTAGGTTAGAGGAGACAGTGCTTGCAATGCTCGTGTAGGTTTTGTTTCAGTGGAGACAGTGCTTGCAATGCTCGTGTAGGTTTTGTTTTAGTGGAGACAGTGCTTGCAATGCACGGGAAGGTTTTGTTTTAGTGGAGTCAGTGCTTGCAATACTCTGGTAGATTTTGTTTTAGTGGAGACAGTGCTTGCAGTGCTCGTGTAGGTTTTGTGTTAGTGGAGACATTGCTTGCAATGCACGGGGAGGTTTTGTTTTAGTGGAGTCAGTGCTTGCAATGCTCTGATAGATTTTGTTTTAGTGGAGACAGTGCTTGCAATACACGGGTAGGTGTTGTTTTAGTTGAGACAGTGCTTGCAATACTCTGGTAGATATTGTTTTAGTGGAGACAGTGCTTGCAGTGCTCGTGTAGGTTTTGTTTTAGTGGAGACAGTGCTTGAATTGCACGGGTAAGTGTGGTTTTAGTGGAGACAGTGCTTGAATAGCACGGGTATGTTTGGGGTTAGTGGAGACAGTGCTTGAATTGCACGGGTAGGTGTTGTTTTAGTGGAGACAGTGCTTGAATTGCACGGGTAGGTTTGGAGTTAGTGGAGACAGTGCTTGAATTGCACGGGTAGGTTTGGGGTTAGTGGAGACAGTGCTTGAATTGCACGGGTAGGTTTTGGGTAAGAGGAGACAGAAGGGGAATGCTCGGGTAGGTTGGTTGAGTGTTAGTGGAAACATGTTTTGATATGTTCTGTCCCGCCTCGTCTTGAAACTTACGCCACTGCCCGTGTTCAACCTGAATGCACGTTAGATTCTCCATTACTCCCCATAGTAATCCTTGCAAGACTACTTGCATCTTATCGTATGTCTTCATATTCAGCCCCACAGGGGTTGACTTACACTCATCAAGATGTATAAGTTGTGTTCTCAATACTTGAAATTACTCTGCTTCCAGTTCACAAGGGATTAGCTACCGCTGTGGTTGACTGCAACGCAGTAGCACAAAGAGCAGCACTTTTGAATGCTTCACCAACAAAAAACTATATGATTACATTTCTCATTACGTACTCCTGACATCTGTTATAAAAAGGCTTCCGATGATTTATTAATGTTTGATAGAGACGCGGAGTATGTCGTCACAGCTGGCGCAGAACTATTTGGGATCAGTATCAGTTGGCTGTAACAGTATGAAGATGACCTATAAGCTTGTGTTGTTTTCCCGTGAGACACACTGACACCCCACACCGATGCGTGGAAACGCCAATTCTTAAATTTTCATGCTACAGCATGAGCGTACGTGATCCCTGCGAAACCGAGACAGGTGTTATGTACCTGGAGCATGTGGCTCAGACTAATATAAGGTGCAATATACCTGGAGCCAGGACGTCCAGACAAATGTCAGGTGTCATGTACCTGGAGCGTGTGGCTCAGACTAATATAAGGTGCAATATACCTGGAGCCAGGACGTCCAGACAAATGTCAGGTGTCATGTACCTGGAGCGTGTGGCTCAGACTAATATAAGGTGCAATATACCTGGAGCCAGGACGTCCAGACAAATGTCAGGTGTCATGTACCTGGAGCGTGTGGCTCAGACTAATATAAGGTGCAATATACCTGGAGCCAGGACGTCCAGACAAATGTCAGGTGTCATGTACCTGGAGCGTGTGGCTCAGACTAATATAAGGTGCAATATACCTGGAGCCAGGACGTCCAGACAAATGTCAGGTGTCATGTACCTGGAGCGTGTGGCTCAGACTAATATAAGGTGCAATATACCTGGAGCCAGGACGTCCAGACAAATGTCAGGTGTCATGTACCTGGAGCGTGTGGCTCAGACTAATATAAGGTGCAATATACCTGGAGCCAGGACGTCCAGACAAATGTCAGGTGTCATGTACCTGGAGCGTGTGGCTCAGACTAATATAAGGTGTTATGTACCCGGTGCGTATCTTTCAGACTAATATAAGGTGTTATGTACCTGGAGCGTGTCGCTCAGACAAATGTCAGGTGTAACATACCTATAGCGTGTCGCTCAGACAAATGTCAGGTGTTACATACCTGTAGGGTGTCGCTCAGACAAATGTCAGGTGTTACATACCTGGAGCGTATCTCCCAGACTGGTATAAGGTGTTATGTACCTCAAGTGTGTAGAAAAGACTAATGTCAGGTGTCATATACCTGGAGCATGTTGTCCAGACTAATGTCAGGTGTCATATACCTGGAGCATGTTGTCCAGACTAATGTCAGGTGTCATGTATCCGAAGCGTGTAGTACAGTGTTATGTCACGTGGTATATTCTGAAGCCTGTGTAGCTCAAATTAATATAAGGTGCCATATACACGAAGCGTGTAGCACAGACTGATAGCAATTGTCATACACCTGGAGCCTGTAGTCCAGAGGAATGTTAGGTGGCAATACTTTGAGCGTGTGGTTCACACCACTGAACCGTGCAGCTATGGCCGATAGCAATGCATTAAAAACGTTACGTTACACACGTGCACAATGTGTGCAATAATTACACGTGTCCAGCATAACATGCACCGTGTTATTCCACACACTACACACTTTATAACGCTATATACATACAACAGGTATCCTCCAAAGAATTAATGGCAAATCCAACACACATCCGACCTGTTCCTCACACGTGTGACGGAGGTACTCTATATATGGAACAGCAGTGTTTTACATAAACGTCATATAACAAGTCACATACCTTTGAAAAGGCATTTAGAAGTGATAAACAGAAAGAAGAGAATTTACGGATGACAACCCCTTTATTATGAGGAACACAACGTTTCGAAGTATATTAATAACTCCTTCATAAGATGAACACGTCGTTTCGGAGTATATAACTTACTCCTTCATCAGATGAACACAACGTTTGGGTGTATATAGTATATACTCCAAAACGTTGTGTTCTTCATAATAAAGAAGTTGACATCCACAAATTCTCTTCCCTACCCTGTGTGCTGAAGATATGTGACATTACATGACACACCTACTGAAGTGTGAGGGGCGTCTCCTCATAACACTTGCTGTGTGGGGTGTGTGTATGCGCTGCATGAGACGGGGCATTCCGGAAGCAGATGGAAGGAAGACGTTTGGATGAGGAACCGACAATGATGGGCGGAACAGGTAAGCTGGAAGCAGTACTAAGTGGTGGCTGTGGTGGAATACTGAACCACAGAAAGGTCAGGACAAGACTCACTTATAGGTGGCCTCATTACACAGCTATGTCTTGTGAGACATGCTGACATTTACAGCACCGGTCTACGGTGTCAGTGTCTGACTGAGCCGCCCCGAGAGTCCTCCTCCAGATGTAAGAAGCCTGTAAGTGGAGCATTTCCTAAGACAATAAGCTAGTTAGTAACGGAATCAGCATCGCACTCACAGTGACACTAAATGCTTCAGTGACTCCGCAGCAGAAACGATCGTTCGGTGTTCTTTATGTTGTAGCTGGTGCCATGTCTTGATTGTCTTCATGTGAGAGATAAACATCAAGGAAGCCGGTATTTCCCCTGGATTGTGATGGTCACTATGATAATAACAAATGGAAGTCCTTAGTTGCCCCTAAACCGTAAACAAATGTCCTCGTCAAACGTGGAACCAGCTGCACCAACCCTAGATTATTTCCTGATAAGTCAGAAATCTAGACGCTGGGCTAAGTAACTCTGTGGCTGTATGAAGAGATTATATAAAACGGCTTACCGTGTGTTGGTGATGGGAGAAATGAGAGGCCAGTGCCACGGCTTGCTATCTATACCTCCACTGCTCCACTGCCAGGCTCTACGCGATCAATGAGCTGGCTTGTTCACCACCAGGCAGTTAGGTCTGCGCATGCGTCAGCTGCCTTCTTCCACGAGGGTTACAGAGCACAAATCAAGAAAGTGCACGCGAGATTGTTTATGGAGACATTGTAACCCACACAAGGTTCGTTCTACCCATACATGGAGAACCCAAATGATTTCCTCCCCTCGCTCAGCTGACAGTCTTGACGTGATGCTTTTGAAGACTTGTTAAACTGGTCATACTCGATCGGGTTCGGCAGAGCGGGCAAAAGCAATTGTCGATTATTTTGGACATGTGAATCTAGGGTGAATAGATGGGGCAAGTTTCGATGGAGAGAAGAAGTGTTCGAAGAAAACATATTGCTGTTTTGTTCCTCTTGAATTTGCTGAAGACACAGACCGAAGCTATGCTACCTCTTCCATCCTGAGACTGGGTATCTTCTGCTGTCGCCTCGTGGTGGCAGGGAGACAACTCAGAAACATCCCTTATACAAACATACATCTATATATATGCGTAAATGTGCATAACCGGTGCTGGTGGAGAATCGTTTGAATATGAAAGAGTGTGGTGTAGGATTGTTTGATGATGTTGGATAATGCGGTGATGTAGACTGTGGGGTCATTTAGAAGTGTGTGGTGATGTAAATACCACTCGGACACATGACATTGACAAGAGCCGGTCAATCCGTGTTTACCCCTTTAATGCAGTTGCCAGGCAGGGTAACAACAAGTACCATATGTCAACGTCTTTTGGTATGACGTGGCCGGGGATCGAACGACGGACCCTCCGTTTACCGGACAGACGCTGTATCCAATAGACCACGGAGGCTGTCATGAACACTAAGTACACCTACCCCAGCCAAGCATGCATCTCTAAGCAATACTATAATTATCTACAAGGTGGTGGAATGGAGTTTACCGTCGTGTCCAAGATTATTGCACTTATATAGCGACGTGCATGTACGTGTGTGTGTGTGTGTGTGTGTGTGTTTGTGTGTGTCTCTTTGTGTGTGTGTGTGTGTGTGTGTGTCTGTGTGTGTGTGTGTGTGTGTCTGTGTGTGTCTGTGTGTGTGTCTGTGTGTGTGTCTGTGTGTGTGTCTGTGTGGCTGTTTGTACTAGTCCGGACTGATGCCAATTTATAGTGCTAGCCCACTGAGATACCATGCGGCAGTTTAACATGAATACAACACTCAGACACAGTATACTGACTCCGAGCCGACCAGTCCTTGTTTTAGCCCCTTAATGCCGAGCGCCAGACAGAGTAACAACAAGTACCATCTTTTAACGTCTTTTGGTATGACGCAGCCGGGGATCGAACCACCGACCTTCCGCTCACCGGGAGGACACTCTACCACTAGACCACGGAGGCGGTTCGTATACGTCTATGACATGCATCACTTGATGGCGTCGCCCTACGTTGGTCTGAGATTGTAACCGAAATACCTCTAAATGGGGGCTACACTCAACTCAACCACAACAGCACATGGGGCGGTCGGGTAGCCTAATGATAAAGCGTTCGCTCGTCAAGGCCCAGGTTCGATTCCCGACATGGGTACAATGGGTACAATGTGTGACCTTCAGCTCTCTCGGCGGACGCTCTACCACTAGATCTACAACTACCAAAGATATATCATAAGGTTACATGACCCAACCAAACGAGTATTACTTGCCCACTGAGGCCTCGTGGAATTAAGCGTTGGTTCGTACCGTTGATCCGAGGTTCTCCACATGGGTAGAAAGTGTGAAGCCAAATGAGGGGAATATTTCTAAATGCTGCGTAAAAGCCCACTCACTCGCTCACATCAAGCAAACAATGATAACGATGCAATTTAAAATTGACTTCAATATGTTTCTGCGTTTATGTTTGTTTGTTTGTTTCCCTCTTTCTTTGATGTTTTCACGCAGCACTCCACCTCTACCTCTATCTTGCCACGTTTCAGAGGAGTTAACCCTAACTGGGTGATGTACGTTTAGTTCAGGGGGAATGAATCCTCCCAATCTAGGCCCACCGCGGAGACATGTTTGTTTGTCTGTTGACGCCGCACTACACAATATTCAAGCTATCTGACGGCGGTCTGCACATGATTGTGTCTTGAACAGACAATCCAGTGATTGACATCATGAGCATCGATCCACATTATTGGAATACGATGACATGCATCAACCAAGTCAGGAAGCCTGACCAACCGATGCCTCTTACGACAAGTATAGACGCTTTTTACGACAAGCTGAAGACCTATTCTATAAAGGACCTATTCGTTTATGGAGGTAATGTAACTCAAGCGCAATTAAAACATATTGAAGTCAATTCTTGTATATAAATCCAACAATAATAATAACTCCGCTGGCTGCTTTTTTAATGAACACAAAAATAACTGTTGACAACAACAAGAAATCCGTGACATCAACACACATCCCTCCCATTCTGTTATCAACCAATCAGAAAAAATCAACAGCGCCACCCGCGTTGTCCACCCGTGACCCCGATTAGACATAGCTTGCATTTAAGGCATTGGCATGTTGTTGTTGTTTAGTTATAGACGTATTTGCCGAGTAAATATGTATGTTTGTTTTTACGCACAGTCAGCAGTATTACATGTATGTCAGAGCGGCCTGTAAATAATCTAACCTGGGCCAGACAAACCCGTGATTGTCTCATGCCGTCATGGTACAAAGCGTCGCAAACCACAAAGTATACTTTGTTGGCTGCGACGCGTTGTACCCTTGTATCACAGGTACGTGTTTACTAGCGCTGGGTGATCTTTGTATTGGTATCGTTTTGTGTTGGACAAAGGGGTTGATCGTGTTGTTGATATGTTGGGCAGAGGTGTGTGATCTGTACTGATGTGATGTGTTGGTACTGATGTATGTTGGACAGAGCTGGGTGATCTTGGTGTTGGTACGGATGGATGTTGGACAGAGCTGGGTGATCTTGGTGTTGGTATGTTGGACAGAGCTGGGTGACCTTGCTGTTGGTATGTTGGACAGAGATGGGTGACCTTGGCGTTGGTATGTTGGACAGAGATGGGTGACCTTGGCGTTGGTATGTTGGACAGAGATGGGTGACCTTGGCGTTGGTATGTTGGACAAAGATGGGTGACCTTGGCGTTGGTATGTTGGACAGAGATGGGTGACCTTGGCGTTTGTGTGTTGGACAGAGCTGGGTGACCTTGGTGTTGGTATGTTAGACAGAGCTGGGTGACCTTGGCGTTGGTATGTTGGACAGAGCTGGGTGACCTTGGTGTTGGTATGTTGGACAGAGATGGGTGACCTTGGCGTTGGTATGTTGGACAGAGATGGGTGACCTTGGTGTTGGTATGTTGGACAGAGCTGGGTGACCTTGGTGTTGGTATGTTGGACAGAGCTGGGTGACCTTGGTGTTGGTATGTTGTAGAGAGCTGGGTGACCTTGGTGTTGGTATGTTGGACAGAGCTGGGTGACCTTGGTGTTGGTATGTTGGAGAGAGATGGGTGACCTTGGTGTTGGTATTTTGGACAGAGCTGGGTGACCTTGGTGTTGGTATGTTGGACAGAGCTGGGTGACCTTGGTGTTGGTATGTTGGAGAGAGCTGGGTGACCTTGGTGTTGGTATGTTGGACAGAGCTGGGTGACCTTGGTGTTGGTATGTTGGACAGAGATGGGTGACCTTGGTGTTGGTATGTTGGACAGAGCTGGGTGACCTTGGTGTTGGTATGTTGGACAGAGCTGGGTGACCTTGCTGTTGGTACTGATGTATGTTAGCTACAGGTGATCTTGGTATTGGTACCGATGTGTGTTGGCCGTATGAGTAAGATTTAAATGTTGTCTAGCGATGTATTTCGTCTCAGTCTAGTTTTAATCATATTGCCTGCTTTGTGATTGGTAGGAAACACCAGACACTGTATCTAAATAGGACAATTTGGATCTTGTCTGAAACTCAACCAAACTTCTCCAAAATATAGCATGTCCAGTTCTTAATAGATAACTTTTTTGAAGCAAGTTCAATGTGTACATTCACATTTACATGGGAACAAAAAACAGTATGCTATCGCTTTCATTTTTTGTATTACGTTATGGACGCATCGTTATTTATCACGATAAAAGTGGAAGAATCGGATGTTTACACAGAGCTTTCAGATTGACTCTTCTGTTGAAATGAAACCGCTAAAACTGCTGTGAAGTGTCTCTCCTATACAACTACAAGTTTCTATTATATGCCTGTACAATGTGAAAAGCAATTGTGAAGGAAATACCCATATTACATCCTTTATTGAATTCACGAAGAAAGACCGTTCCTTCCCTTTCTAATATACCGCCAGCAAGTAGTCAGGGGGGCTGTGTGAACTCACCATGCTATGATAGATAGAATGCGGTCAATATAATCTTAAATGATATTTTGGCCGTATATTGATTGAGTCTATACATGATTCATTGATCAAGTAGCCTTCTGCATGTTACTACAAAAGATCAACTGATCGCCACCGGAAGCGATATTATTCGGTGAGTCAATTACACAACGGCTTCTCGAACGGCTTGTCGTTCCGGTTTAGTTGGAGGACAATGGTGTTGTTGCGTCAGCACTTGAGCAAGAGGCAGAGACTGCCGCGGTTGAGTTGGGCACTTGAGGGTTCCTGTGTTCCGGCGGGGCTCCCGCAGCCGCCCTTCATCCATGTGAAGGCAGAAAGAGTATGTCCCGACCACCATCTCGTGTTGACTCACACCAGTAGATTTGTTATGACTCCACTTGAACAGCATGCTGGTCGATCAGGGATGCATTTAAGAGTTTGCCTAGTCAACACGTGTATCTAACTCGATACAACAGTGGAGGAAGCGTCGACTCAATGACACAAGGACTGCTATCGACATTCTCTCACGCCGTATCATGTCGAGGGAAGAGGAGGCCTCTTGGAGGAGACTGGTCCATCGCATCGAGGGGCAGCGTTATTTTGCCACGAGTGCAGATTTGCAGAAGCCAGGATAACAAATTGTGGTACCAGGAGCGGACATTTGTCGATGTGTTCAGCTGCAGCCCCCGTATTGGTGTAGAAATGTCGC